CAATTTGTCAGACTCATATTTAATACAAATGTTGAGTACAAGAAATTTGAATCACTGCAAAATATATTTATGAAGTTTCTTGTGGCTAGTGTAATATTTCAAATTTGTGACTTGTGTCGTTTTTTAAATGACTGATAAAATTACAAAATAGAAGCATCAAAGCGTTTATTTGAAAGCGATTTTGTCCAAGAGGCCTAGTACAGTAGAATCTTTATTCTAATATATTTTCCAGTATGCCTATGCATAATGGAATCAAAGCAACGAGGCGACGGAGTGGTCACAGGTCTACAGAAATTATTACAAATAAAAGTGATAAAATGAAATAAAATCACTTTCAAATAAACGCTTTGATGCTTCTATTTTGTAATTTTTTCGGTCATTTAAAAAACGACACAAGTCACAAATTTGAAATATTACACTAGCCACAAGAAACTTCATAAATATATTTTGCAGTGATTCAAATTTCTTGTCGCTTTTGAAATGGCCGATTTAATTTAATACTTTCTAACTTTGCTAGCTTACACTGTGCTTGGTTTAGATTGTACTGCCTTGAAAATACTAACTACCGATTTGCATCGAAGCGTTTTTTCGAAAGTGATTTTATCCCTTTCAGATTTAAAAATTCCTATAAACCTGTGACCTCCCCGCCCCCACTATGCTCCGTCCCCACTATACCCCGACCCCACTGTACTAGTTTTTTTATTTAATTAGAGAGCCTATTTTTATGTTTTAAAAGTTTTAAATACGATACTTATATGAACTTATAAAACACCCTTAAATTTGATTTTATAATAATATTGCTACACGAGTCATGTATTTAAAATATTTTAACTTACGGATAATACCGAAATAAATCTTCATATTTCTTACATATAAATATCATAAATAGTTTGTTATTGACATATAATAATATCAATGACCAAATGCACACTTTGGTAAATTAAGCATAGTGTATTATTACTATTTTGAAACAAGGCTTACACATTAAATATGTACTTCCAACATTTTTATTAAACCCTATACTGCATGATTTTTTTTTGAAATAATATTTTATGTTACATAATATAATTTCCTTCGTATTGGATATCCGATAAGAAAACAACATTATGTTAGTTTATAATAACTTGACATTGGAACGCTATACAAAATTTTGACAATGATAATCACAAAATATCCTACACGTGCCACGTACATAACCATGTTTTCCAGGCGTTTTGGACGGCGTGGTGCATACAGCTGAGTATGCCACTTCCGAGAAAAAAATGATTTTATTTTCAAATTATTTGGGTAACTTTTGGATATTACAGAATATAAAATACTTCCTTTATATTATACATAATCATCGTAAACCAGTTTACTATTAAAAACTATAAACAAAGTCCAACAAGATCACCTAGTATTAAACATATTTTATTTTGGGACATCATGTTTCACACGAGTGCCATGCCGTGTTTATTCAGTTAACTCAACAAATAATAATCACGTGCCGATTTCGATATGTATAAATTATACAATTTTTTTAGCGACATTTATTTTTTAAGCTTTTGCAAATATTACAGATTGAATTTAACTTAAAGTAAATAATGAGAAACTTTAGTCATCAATCAAGATGGTTAAATAAAATATTCATGTTATTGTACAAAATTATTAAACTACTAAATGATAAACACTGTTATTATTTTTAACTTTTGAATCTTTAATGGGAACGCATTTAATTAATTGCCAAACTTTTTAAAATAAGAATAATTTGCTGAATCTTTTGAATGGTCAATAACTGTTTTTGATTAATTACTTTTTAAGTTAATAGAGTTTAAAATTAAGGACGGTGTTGAAGTGCGGTTGAGTAATGCGATTAAATAAAAATCACTTTAATCTTAAAATAACTAGTGAAAAATTACAAAATTATAGGTATCTCCCTAGAAAGTAGTTTCATAGCCCCCCTGATAATTTTTTGAATTGTATGTAATTTTTTAAAATCACGTTCATATATGTGCCATACAATATTTCTAGAATAAAAATTGTTTTTTAGGATTATAAGTAATGAAAACCAATATATTAACCCCCTCCCACCCTCCTTAAAAAAAAGGGAACTTATGTACAACATTGACAATTTATAATACATTTATTGTTACCAAAGGATAAAAAGTCAGTAAACAAACTAAAATGTTTGCAAAATTTAATTTTTATGAATTTTTGATTTTACGGTGAACATGACCGTTACAGCCTAAAATATTTATTATAAGATTAGATACAAAATTATAATGGGTAACAACAAGTAAATTACACGCACAAAACACGGCATTATTTTGTATCGCAAAATAAATTAGAGAGCGCGCGTCAATCGAAGGTCAAATTATTTACAAAACAATAAGGGCCAGTGGTCAGTGGTCGGAGACGGAAAGTTCTCAACGACACAATGACTGACGGATCTGGATTTGCGATCTTCACAACCATGTTGAGCAACGCGCAATTCACCGTAAGTATACAATTTTTACTCTGTGATAATTTACATATTATTATTGTTCTCTATCCTGGGAATTATCATGATGATTATTTAAAGTAATATTTTCATTTTAAATTCATTATGATTTACTCCTACTGTTTCATACACACGCTATTTTTAAATTTACTTTTATAATTTTAAATTATATTTTATTTGAATGTATTTGTTTGTAAAGTTAACAACTTATTTATTTTCATTTATTTGATTTTATTATTTAACCTTTTTAATATAATTATTTTTTTTTTTTACGTGGTTTATAATTTTTATTAAAATGTGAAATTAAATATTTTATTTAAATAATTTTATTAGGGATGTTTTTTAAATCGTTCAAATTATAACTTGCGTACTCTAAATTTCCATTTAAATCGTATAAGGTAGGGCTCGGAAGGACAGTTGTCCATAACGGCATTCTTAGAAAAAGATTTAGCCGCGGGAAAATTTTGAAATGGTCAAAAATGTGAACATTTATTAGTAGCTCATTTTACCCAATGGATAATAAATAATAATTAATATGTTTATTTTCAGAGCTTAATTATGAAAATCTTCCAAAAATCATAATTCAAATAAGTTAGTTAATTAAGTAAAAAAGAAATTGAAGCTATTTCACGATAATATGTGTACCTATGTTGCTCTCATAATTTTGTACTTGTGTAACTATGTATTACATACAAATGCAATTTATAAGATAATACTTTTATTTCCAATGTATTTGGAGTGGTTTTAAGGATTTAACTCTTAATTATTTTTTATCACATCAAAATGGTTTTTCATAATGTTTTTTTAATATTTAATGAACTTCTTTGAAAAACTTTTGTTAACCGTTTTTTCTAAACTAAATACTACCCCTACCTATGCCTATTGTTTATAAAGTGTGATTTGAACTTCGTCAAGGCATATCAGTTACTATTTAATTATTTTAGAAACATTAAAGTAATACTCTATAATCAACCACTCGAAACGATGACCGATGTTGTGCTGGTTTCTAAAATAACTAAGAAATATTATTTTTATTGCCCAAATTTTAAATTCAATTTTTAACGCTTGTAGGATAGACAGAAAGTGAGAAATTTCGGTGTTCTCCTTATTTTCCTATTTGTGTCAAAACGTTAGGAATAGTTTTTCAGCCGAGTCTGCAACCACGAAAGACCATTTTCATGTCTCGTTGAAGTACCGAATAAATTTAGAGTAGTGGTAGAATTTTAGATAATGATATAGTATATTAACAAGCAGTAACAAGCTAGTATATTAAAACGTCAAGTTTCTGGCTAAAATTGTAGTGTTTATTATCTGGCTGATATAGAAAAAGTTCAAATGACATACTGTTATATGATGTCACGTCATCAATATAGGTAAATTTATAAAAATAAATATGGGCAGTGCTTCCAACGACTCGAGACTGATTACTAAACAATTAAATTAACTTAATGCTTAGTTGCAAAATGTAAAACAATATAAAAGACAATTAAATTCAGTGATATTTCGTCAGTCGACTTTACCGTAGCCATATGTCATCAATAAAGTACTCGGTTGTCGCTGTCCGTCTACAAGGTTTAAGTTCGAGAGTTCGTTCATTTAACACCTAGTAGTCTATCCTCTTTCCTCGTGCACTTGTCTTGCGATTCGTTCGCACCTTGTACCTATCCTTTCTCAATCTCTAATTCTTTTTAATCCAGTGTAAACAACGGCTCTTCGACATCCGCGAAGAACCGGGACGGTAATCCCCTATACTCTAGTGCTCTGACAAGTACCAGAGTACCAGTGTGTATACATCCAGTGAGTGCTTAGAGTATCTATCTCCTCTCTTTTTGTCTTACGACAATACTAATGTTTTGTTTAATTAAGTAGTCATAAAAAATAACATAAAATAAATCAAAACTGAATTAAAAGGATATATAAATAAATAAATTATAATAATGTAATACGATTTAATAATCATAATATTTGCTAACAGTAGTTCTTCGTAAATTTTTTTACAAAAATTAAGGTAATACAATTTTAGTAGTTTAATAAAAAATAAATGTGTATAAATAAAATATTGAAAAAAGCTCTAACTTAACTTAGTATACATTAAGTTATCACAAATATACGATTTGGAATTTGTGTGACGTATCTATAAAAACCGAAGTATTACATCAAAGAACGATACAATATATTATTAGTTATTATTTTTTTAAATTAGTGGGGGAAAAAAAGAACATAAAGATTTTTTTTTTTTTATTTAGAATCCTGCAATAGTTAATAATAAATAAAATTTGGGTGGAGTGGTAAAGGTAACATAATAAATAATATCAACGGACTAATATTATTCCAAATACAAATATAAAATAACACATCAGTAAAATGAAAAATCAACGTGATTCATCAGACAGCTGTGTTGTTTTAAAAATAAAATAAATTATTATTGATATCCTGACTGCGCATCGACTGGCGCTGTTGATGAATAACATAAGTATGGAGCTCGTACACGACGTCCACCCGACAGAATCTAACTAGCTTGGCCTTAGTGGAATGTGTTGAACACTCCAACGATAACTTTATTTGTACCTTTCGACAAAAGACAGTAAACAACCAACTGCACCGAAATAACCCTTTAAAAAAAATATATTAAAATGTTTAGTTCTGTATTAATTATGTTTACAAATAGAGCAATTTTGTTTCCTCGAGACGTGCTAGACGTTGGCAAATAACTTTGTGGGAATTGAATTTATTCGAAGGACAAAAATAATTGAGATTGAACCTTGACTAAACACATCACTTTTTTAAGACTTAACATTAACTACAGCGGTAAAATTGTACAGTCACTATTACGCTTCTACGAATCACACTGATTACACACTTGAAGGTTATCTGAGGTAATCCTTTGATAGATAATTTAAAAATTATGAATGATAACACAATGTTTCAAACGAACATTCATACATTATGTAGCTTGCGACATTATTAAAAACTAACGGCGTATTAATTATTATAATTAAGGACTATTATGGTCGGCCTTGTTCTTTTAAGACAAGTAATTGCACATAATTAATACTTAAAATTTACCTCGTGATTTAAGAATATAGCTTTCCCTGAACCGTTCGACCAATAATCCATAGCGTGCGACAACAACTTCATGGATATTGGGTTGACTCGCAAAAAGTTACCGACAAAACAAACCTTATAAGAGTAATAATATTACAAAATATACATATTGTTTAATTTTTAACTCCTCGAAGAGTAAGAAAAAAAAATACCCTGTCAATTCTTTCGTTCAAAGCACACATCCTCGCAATGGACGCTATATTGTAGGTAATGGTAACCAGTGTGGCTCTAGCTAAATCTTCTCGAGAAACCGCTGCCTGTTTCTCTTTGGAGTTCATATGACCAAAACTTTAAAATAATAATAACGACCACATCTAACACCACGGTATAAAAAATATTAAAAAAAAACCGTAACACACCTGCTTGCGACCACTTCTCCGGACAGTCCGAATCGACTGTAACTTCCGCCATAAATGTCTCGCACTAGTTTGTCGACTTTTGTGTTGTCTCCGTTGGCGGCTAGATCGATCGCCTCATCAAAAGTATTGCATCCGGTCAGCAAACTGCACAAGCCCAAAAACGTACCGCCTCCTATACTGCGATGAACACATCAACATTGTTGAACTGTAGCAGAATTGTTATAATTGCAACAAATGTAACATCGTTTTAATTATTACCTGGTGCCCGTTATTCTTTTGAAATCGTTTGGCCCGTATACTGCGAGCACGCTGACGCCGGACCCTATGTTTACGACCTTCGAGCAATAAAAGAAATCATTAATATAAGTATACAATTTTTCCAACGTTATTGTATCACTGTTAATTCCTACTTACAATGAAAGGGTATTTTTTGTACGGAAATGTGTACTTTTGTGTCGAACATTGTTCGTCTTCGGTGCATTGAGACCAAAAGTAGCATTCGTTATTGTTCGACGCTACGGTGAACAACATTCCTTGGATCAAGCTGTCCAATTCATCACATTTGCACAATTTCAAATTCAACACCTATAGAACATTATTTCGTTTTTTTATCATTTTCAACGTTAAAAATACTTTCAACTAATTATACAAATAGTTGAATCGATTGTTACTCATTTTTATAAATATCACAGCAACAGTACAGGTCACACTGTTAGCAAAGGGAAGCAATAAGGGTACAATACATCTTAATTATACACTCATAATTAAAAAAATAAGTGACACTATACATATTATATTATAATAAAACAAAAGTCTAGATTAAGTTAAGATTAGTAGTGTTCTTAGAAACAAATGTATATTAATTAACGAGTTATCAACGCCCAACGAGTAGCTGTTTATCAACAAGGAAGTAATAATTTAATTTTTATAGTCTACCCAATTATATAGGCCGTATTTTCTAGATACAAAAGAGCAATGTTAACGATAAAAAGAAATCCCTATAAATGAGCCCTTAAAAAGTTAAGTGGTGCAAGTGAGATTTTTTTAAAATTGTATTTTATGATGTAAATCAATATTCGAGCAATTATCTGTCAAATGCACAAATCACGTAAGCTATATTATTCAGATAGTGAGCACCACTTTTTAAAAAACACGTTCGCCGATTTTTAATTTTCTTTCATAATAATACCTAGTAATAATAGTAACAATTGCCCATAGCATACTGATTGAACGAAAAACACCACTTTGGATTTTGACGGGCTCAAATTACAACTATTACTGTGCTATGGAACTATGTGAAAAAACGACAGTAAACAGAAAATGTGATGACAATTTCAGATGAATTTCCAAAATTTGTTTCGTTGTATCGACAGTACCTACTTGCAAAAGTACTCTTCAGAGTTTTTGAAAATGTTATAATTAGGTATTTAGACATTTTCTCCCTCCACCACCCGGTTATTGTATGCAGCATTCGTTTACCTTTTTGAAATGTTCCTCAAACTTGTACGCTCCGCCGCCAGTCGCGCAAACCGTAGACGAACTGGCCGCCATGCCTTTCCTTTTGGCTAGTTCAAGGAAATTGCTCATTTCGCAAGTGGGGAATCTGATGAAATGTAACGTTCCTATCCTGTCACATACTTTTACATTGTCCAACTGAAAACGAAACCAATTTCGCAACTTAACTATAAGCAAATAGGGTATTTCCATTTGGGAATATTGTTACCGTGTAACAGGCTACTGTGGGTGAAAATTATACCGGGGAGGAGAATAACAATGAGAATTGGCGAAAACCTGTAAATGCGTGTCTCTGTGACCGGATTTTCCGTAAGCTGAATATGTTGTCAAGTATTTCGTGACGTTCGATAAAAGTTGAGCTTCGTCTTCAGTATTTTCCACAACGTTGTCTTTTGGCTCGAAAAATACTAATTTCGAAAGTGTTCCTCCTATATCCATGCCAAACCACGGCATAGCTGAATAGCAAACAAAAAAAAGTTAAGAGTGATTACACTTCATGCAGATATATCAATACATGTATATGTCCTGATAATTATATGATTATTTCCGATCTATATTCTCCTTGCGATTTATGATAGTATAGTCTTAATTATATGTTCTGGCCAAACGGTTTTTAGTAGTTTTGTAATATCTAGCCTTAATCGATTTACTGGCAACATTTATCAGTATTTAACATTTCTCATAAATCATACTCTGTGGTTCACTATTAATTAAGTACCTACCTAACAAATTAAATTAGAGAGATGTTTGAAGTTTACGAAAAGTAAAATTTCTAAAATGTTCAATACAAATACTTGTTTATTGAAACTACGATTATTTTAAAATTAATTGATGTATAAGACGTTTGTAAATTGAAATTGTACACTTATATATACTAGTAAATGAAATGTTATCTTATATAATCGTAGTTTTTAAAATAACCTTATCTTTATTGACGTTTTATTGGTTTGACAGCTGTATACGAGCATTCATATTTTAATAGTGGATTTTAACTATTTTATCCCCTAGACTCCCCTCTAGTTTTATAATATGATTAAAGTACACATTCGGGACTAAAATATACCGTGAAGTTTAGCTGCACATACTTGCCCCATTTCTCATAAAACGTGTTAGAACTCAACGGCGCGATGCACATTAACTACAAATAAACCATCAGGTAATTTTTATTATTAAATCTTTTTAAAAATAAATGATAATAGATGTATTTTTTTTTTAGCTTCGATGCAAAGCGAGAAGGTATTGGTTTTACTCTGATGTGTGTTTTTTTTTATCTGTATACACTGTAACGTTTTTAATACTGGACCGATTTCTTCGAATAGCAACTCTATAAATCGCAAATTTTGTCTAGTTGGTACTTGGGGGGGGGGGGGGGGGTAAAAGTTGAAAAAGTTTACTTCTTCACAGACGAAATTTGGAAAAACCAAAAGAAAACCGTAGGAGTTTTTAAGTTAGAACTTTTACTAGCTATAATTTCGAGAAAAAGAGTCGGATCGAGTTGAAATTTTTAAGGAATAGTTATTTGGTATGCCCGCACAAGTCAGTTGTGTTAAATTTAAACTATACCCATTTCCCAATCCCCTAGGGGGGGGGGTACAAGTTTTTTTGTTTTTCGGGTTTTTAGCCGTATTTTTAAGACCTTAAGTTGAAAATTTGCCAGTAGTTGGAACTCATATGTATCCATAACATATTTAACAGAAAAAAAATTCGGCACTACAGTTTTTTTTTAAATTGCCGGAAAACTGTGTTTTTGCAGATTGCGTATATTTTAACAAAAACACCTAAAATATTTAAAAAAAATTGATCAAATCATTAAAACAATTTTATGTATATCTATGCAGAATGATAGTAATAAGTTTTGTGCTCAAGTACCACTTTTGACTTTAAGTTTACACAAATTTAAGTACAAACGCGGTGTACCAGATGTGAAAAACAAAAATTATAGAGTTAACTTTTGTTCTGTTGGCATTATCGTGTGTACGAACGCCATGTTGTTGCGCGGTCTTATTCAAATATTATTTCTAAATCTCGTCTACAAAAAACGCTAGTTTTTATTCTGGTTGTAACTTGTACTTCGGAGTAAAGCTTTTATTACGTAGTTTGATGTTTACTTTATCAATTTTTATTTTATATTAAAAAACAATATTTCAACATAATATAATTAAATAAATAATAAATAAAATTAGCTGAATATGGATTTAGTTAAGTCACAGTTGATATAAAGTCGTTTAGAACAAAACTCTACTTTTTGCGGATTGACTGAATGTAATTTCAGTAACTCTAAAATGGCAGTCATTTCGTGAGAAATGATAAAACGAGCTGTTCATACCATAGTTGTTCGAATTATCAATTTGCCAGACCAAATTATCTTTGATCGTGACCATATTGTAAATTAGGTGTGTAGTTATTATGACATTTATAAGGTGATAATTGTTAAAGTCAAATGACGTTACACATCAAATCACCAAAAGATTCCACCAAAAATGGCAAAATATATGGAAAGACACTCCACCCAGAAATTAAAGTAATTAATTAAAAATGTAAGTTTTACATTTTTTAATAATTAGTTAGTTCATAAAAAGTAATTTGTAATTGAATATTAATTACCAACTATTAAATAATTTAGATATTGCTCACCACTGGATATATTTCTCGAACTGATATAATCTATTACACTGAATACTCGATTAAAAAAAGGTTCATAAATATGTTTAACGCTTTGTTCTCGTGTGTAATCTTGCCAACTTTTTCAATCTCCAATTTTAGTAATTGTTCACGTTTATAAGATTTTTTTTTTAAACGTATTTTATCGGAATGTATGTTATCCGAAAGTTTTGACGAGTGTTAAA